CCCCAAAACCCCAAAACCCCAAAACCCCAAAACCCCAAAACCCCTTAAAAATTATGAAAAATTGTATAAGAATAAAATTTTAATTTGTTTTTGATAATTTGAATGGCATCAATAATCATCGCTAGTAAGGCAAACTCGAGACCTTTGGCTGAATGAGAGGTTTTAGCAGAGTTCTTAGCTAAGAATCAGCCCCAGTTCAAGTAAGCTTTGCCTTCTTATGATATAGCTACTCAGTGATAAAGAAGCATAAGAATGAATGGGATGATTTCCTGACATCTCTTACTGAATCATACGGATTCAAAAGGAAGTGCTGTCCCATTGTATTTACTGTAGAAGGCGAACTCATTGGTGACACCAGAGAGTTCTATGATTATTGTCAAAACAAATACGGTAAGATCGTGCGTGTTGGAAATGAGGTATCCGAACCAAGAGCAAAAGCTAATGCTCAGGAAGCCAAGGAATTCGTTAGAAAGAGGGACAAGGGGCCAAACTTGATCGAGAAAATCCAGAAAACTTTGAGGAAAGCTAAAGTTAAGAAACTTGTGAGCAACTTGGAAGGCAATTTTGAGAAAATCATCCATAATGGAATCCCTTATAACGTCAGGCTAACAGATATGTCAAAAAGGTCTGTAGAATTTATCGAAGAAGTCATGGACCCTGAATCAGAAGTTCCTGAAGATGATGGAGAAGACAAGGAAGAGGGAGTTGAAGAAGGTACACATCATTCACTTCCATCTAGAATTAGTTTACTTCGCTTTTTTTTGGTCTAAATCTCATAAAATTTTATATAGAAGCCGGGGACGACAACCTTGATTACGATGATCTCGAGTCGAAAGAAGAGAATAAGGAAGACCCCACTCCAAACGAAGGAGAAGGTAGCCAAGCTAATAACGAGGACGAGCAAGAAAGTCACCCCGAAGGAGAGGGAGATGCTCCAGAAGAGCCCCATCCAGTCGAAGAGATTAAGGAAGAAATAAAGGCCAAACCTGAGAAGGTCATCGAAGAGCCTGTCTCCATTGACGATGTAGTGTCTCAGTACCCCTTTGATGAGTCTAAAGGAATGACATTTGAAGACTTCGAAAAATTTTATAAAGATGAAATAGAAGGAAAACTCAATAGAAGGGAAGCAGTTAAGGAGAGAAACCAGCGCAGGAACGGTGAACTTGAAGAAGACAAAGAGCCTGAAGAAGAAGCACCAGAAGCCCATCAGGAGCTGGACCAAGACCCTGATGGCGAAGGAGAAGGCAACGATGGAGAAGGGGATCAAGAAGCCAAAGAAAGAAGAGAAGCTGAACGACAGAGGATTGAGAAAGAAAGAGAAGAGGAAGAAAAGAAAAGACAGGAAGAAGAGAGAGTAAAGCAGATAGAAGAAGCTAATAGGATGAGAGAGGAGTTCTATAAGGAGTATGTGCAAAGAAGGTATCATATTTACGAGAAAGATAAGTACCAGAGGACGATTCTAAAGAAGCTAAGAATCGATACTTTTGATGACAATTATTCCCTCTACGTACATCCTGAGCCACCCATTCAGGAAGTCATGATGATCTTCCAGTCTGATCCTGAGTTAGAAGACGATGATTTTCAAAATTATAGAGATTTTGGACTTGTAGAGAGACTCCCAATGACTAAAATCCCTGAAGAAATGGAAAGCTATGTCAAAACTGAGGAAGCTAAAGTGAGTATCAACAGAAGTCCATTGAAGAGTGCAGAGATTGATATAACAAACCCGTTAACTTCTTATGAGTGGAAACTATGGTACCACATAGTCTCAACAACTAAAGGCTATGGGTTCTTACAAATTCTGCCTGTTGGATATAGATCTAGTTCTGCTTTCTCTGCCAATTTGTTGCATGTAGCTCCAAAGACAAAGAGCTGGGGTAAATTTGAGTCTCCTCTCGACAAGCTCATCTCTCTCAGAAAGGAATACTACATTAAGGAAAACACCAGACTATTCGAAGAGAAACAGAAGAAGGATAAGACTGTGGCTGGGAATAACGCACTTTCTCAAACAGACAAGCAGCACCAAGAAGAGCTAAAGAAGCAGGAAGAGATGCAGAATGAGCATATTTATAGATTCTCTAAGGATAATATCTTCAAACTTCCTGAGTTTGATTTCCCTCATTTTGTATGCATTCTAGAGGGCGAGCCAAGCGACAGCTCTTTAGTTGCGGATTATCTCAAAATTTGTGACGAGCTTAATCTTGGAGAACTTCAAAGATTAGGAGTCACTATCATTATCACGAAGGAATGGATGTTCGTGGCTACCTTATCACAGCCTTACATGAAGATTGAGAATGATTTGGATTTGTTCATTGATCCATTCAGTTATGCAGGAATCTTGAATATCCATGTAAAGGATCATTCTTGGCCACAGACTGCAGGAATCGATGTGAAAGATCAGATAACTTCTTATTTACCCTCAAAGGCTTACTCAGAGCCATTACCTTCGCAACTCCCAGAAGAAGAGCCTCCAGTTGAGGAAGAAGATGAGTATGATGACCAAGAGGCTGAAGGTGAAGGCAAAGAAGGCGAAGGTGAAGGAGAAGCTGAGAAGGATGACAAAGAAACCTCATAACCCTAATGGCTGATCATAGTTGTTAAAGTTAGTATTTTAATAGCTTGCAATAAAGTAATTTTGATATGGGGTTTTGGGGTTTTGGGGTTTTGGGGATTTGGGG